CGGAACAGTCGAGATCACAGACGGCTGGCACACTATCTCCTGGATCCAAGTAACACGTTGTATGAGAGGCAAACGCTTTTTCTCGCATCTCCTCACAGGATGGATCGTCGACCCTTGGCCGCAATAGTGGCACCAGTGAGACTTGGAGGCATTTACGAACTCTGTTAACCCAGTTTCGCCCGATTAGACTGAACTTACCAAAGTTTTCGTCATACAACTTGCAAAAATGTTCAGCGTATTTGATTGCATATTGACTACTTGTAGCTTCACAGGGATACTTCCTCTCCAGGCAGTTGCGATACCAATAACATGAATCCCCTGATGGACTATAGCACTCTGGAGGCAGTAATGTGGTAGGTGTGAAAGCGTTTGGATATGAGGTTGGATTGCTGGAAGTACAGGAACAATCACTCGTCACTGATCCATATTCCTTGTTCTGCACTTCAAGCATACACTGATACCGGCAGTAAGTTGCAGTTCGGTCTATACACTGATGTTTTTGGTTGCTCTTTTACCTCATGTAAGCATCCGTCACGCATTTCCCCCACTGGTATTCGTTATTGTACGACCTTAATTGAATGCATTCAACAGTTCCAGCGGGTCCAGACCACTTGTCACACTGGGCGGCCCATCCAAACTCGACCACAAGCAATAATAGCATAAACGTAAGAGATAGCATCGTTCAAAGCTGGAACCTGGGAAATGAAACTAGGTCATTTTAAGATTTAGTATCCATTCACATATCTGCAGTGCGGAAAAGAATACAGTAGCAGCCCGCTAACTCGAACACCCAAGAGAAACGGAAGATGGTTCGAGTTGAAGGGGATTCCAGTTTCCCGCGTTGTGTTGAATATTTGTATTTTTAATGATTAATGGGGAATAATTTTTTTACCATTCTCACACAAACAACAGTAATTTCGGTACATTTAGTATGCTTTAGCAAAGGCAGTCCAGGCTCCAGCTGTGAGATGATCATCTTGCGAAATAAGAGTAATGCAAAAATATAGGAGTTTGTATAGGAATATTTACGACCGCTCATAGGAAGTAAAAATACATTAAAATTCTCAATAAAGATATCTTACCTTACTTTCACAGTGCTGTAACGAGGCCATTTTTGCGAGTTATCCATGGGAAGTCCGACTAAACCGAGTTCGAGTTAGCTGATAACAAATGACTGGAAACATTTGATCTTATTTGAGATAGTGGGGGAATCTTGTTAACCGTGTTCGAATTAGTGGGCTCTACTGTATTACTTTAAGAAACCCCCAACATTTCTTCACTGTTAGTTAGAGCTCAAGCACTTTTTGTTACATACTAATATGTTACCGTGTTTGATATCACTCTTTAGACTCAATGATACTTTGCCATTTGTTTAGATATCTAATGGCAACAACTTTTTCCTCATTCTAATGTATACAATATATCTCTTTTTTATAGCCGGCTCCACGGGCAGGCAGCCAAATGAAAGGAATCCTGTGTTTTGATTGGTTGCCCGAGCAGACAAAATGCTTTTACCATCCCTGCTCCGGTCACCCACTTTGTCCCGCGAATGGAGTCGTAAAACATTACATTACGTTTCATGGCGATTTTCCAAGTCGCCGATCAAATGACCACCAGAAATCTCGTAAAAATTCTTGCCTTTCCAACGAGTCGGGAAACTTCAATGGGTTTGAAAAAAAGCCACCAAAGCTAGTACCCATGCGAATCCGAAAGCCGCATTTAATTTCTGCCGATGGGAGGGAAGTTGCTGCCACTCTTTTAAAAGATCTGTCAATTCGGAAACGGTCAGCGCGCTCTATTTTCATTTCTTCCGCAAGCACAAAATGAATGATTATTCATAATCTTACAAGCTTTCCTTTGTTTAATGTTCCAGAAAATGAATTGATTTCAACCTTGAAAATATGAAGTATTCTATGGCGTATCATACCGTTCAAAATTCAGTCAGGGTATTTTCCCTATCGAAAATTAATTCTCGTGTCGGAAATCAATTAACAGGGTCCGTTATTGTTGGCCTCTTTCAGACCTC